ATCACGTATAGATGTTCAACATAGATTCGTATTCCAAGTGGATATCAATCAGTGTGAGTAAGCAAAAATATTTGAAAACCACATGATAGAAAGCTCAGCAAAGGTCTTGAAACAAACTAAATTTAATTCGGTAATTTATTGATTTTAAAAATATTTATTGAGTAATTTCTATATGTCCACTACCACTTAACTCTAGGTGCTAGGAATATTGCATTGGATAAAACAAGTATCTCTGACCTTCTGGTACTTTTACCACAGTGGATTGCAAATTAGAAATTAGTATATGAGTTCTATTTATATATAAAGTATACTCAATTTGCTGTTACTGAAAATGGATTATTCACATTCTTCAGCTGAAGATGGTTATAAAAAAACCTATCCTAGTACTAAATGAGCTAAGATTATTGTGAAACCCCTCCTAAAACAAAGTAATTGATTTTTCTGCCACAACAAAGTCTGAACCATTAAGTTTAACAAAAACAACATCAACAATAACAAGTTTAACCAGTGCCATCTGTCATTATCTACTTTCATGGAGTACATGAAATCATATGCAGACTCTGGATAGGTACCTGGTCTATCTTGAGACAGATTTTATAGTTTGTAAAACTTGTTTATTGTGAATATCTAGAAAATCCCAAATAAAATGTCCTAAAACAGTATAAGATAAACTTTCCTCATAAATAGGAGCTCTTAGGCATAGTGCCTAAGGCATTTGACTGCTAACCAGAAGGTTGATGGTTCAAACCCACCAGCCACTCCTCTGAAAGAAGGTTGGGCAATCTACATCCATAGTGATTCTGCCTCAGAAACCCAAGGAAGGGTCGCTATGAGTTGGATTTGACACCATGGCAGTGTGTTGTGTTGTGTTTCCTCATAAATGGTTTTGTCTCCAATGTTCTATATATTTTCTATGTATATTTTCTGACATGGATATGCCAAGTTGAAATAAGTCATTCATATACATTTAACTCTGATGGCATAGTGCCTAAGGCATTTGACTGCTAACCAGAAGGCTGGCTGTTCAAACTTGTAAGCCACTCCTGGGAAGGAAAATTAGGCAATCTACTTCTGTACAGCCACTCCTCGGAAGGAAGATGGGGCAATCTACTTCCGTAGTGATACTGCCTCGGAAACCCAAGGAGGGGTCACTATGAGTCGGGTCTGACTCG